GCTCCCCCGAGCCTCCGGAGACTTCGCAGGTATTTGCCATGTGCGTAATAGCAAACAAATGCAGAGCGTGTTCCTTCACTTCGGCCACTTCCACCAGCATTCCACAACAGCTGTTCAGATCCGAAATTTGCACCTGAAAGCAAATCCACCCTCTACTGAAAGCAAACAGTTGGGTGCACTTAAAAGATCTACCTTGAAATGCCACTTCCCCCATGCCCCCGAGGAGAGGCATTTATCCTTTTCACTTGCAAATTTCGGACAGAGCTGCGGTGTGAGAGTCACCTTGGTCTCTGGTCCGAAACTTGGGGGTGGGGGGAAGCTGTAGATACTGTTAACGACTCTCCCTTATGAATCACGCGGAGACGTGTCAGAACCTCCCAGGGCAGGCGCCGTTCCTCTTGGGAACGCTCTCCTTGAATGGAGCCGAGTGTCCCAGCCCAGGTCTCCCACCAGCAGGGAAGGTGCTCTATCAGCCAGATGCCCCCTCCCCCACTAACAGCAAACCGGACCAGCCAGAAATAAAGTGTAAAGCCCAACGCGTATTGTTCTGTACTGAGCTGCTTATAACCAATGGAGCACCATTCCTCAGAGAATTTGGCAACAGCTTGTTCGTAATTAGCATTTATTTGACTTCGATACAAAATACCATTAAAAAGATAATTAAGGGGGGGGGGGGAATTATTACTACATCTTCTCATAAGTTAATTCATGGCCACATTCAGTACATGTCTTTTTAAAAGTAGATTCGTCAACGTTTTCTTCTGGTCCATACTCATGTTCGTGGATACTGGTTTTCTTCCTCCATAGACTACTCCTCACAGCACGGCGGAGTTCTGATGAGAAATACATGAAAATTTTAAGGTTTTAGTTAATCTTAAGCAACAGTTAACAACACTCAAGCTAACCAGGACTACAGATGCCAATCTGCCTGTTGCTTGTCTTCCATACATTTTGGGTGAGAATCTGCTACTGCAAGAACAAGCTCTGACTTGCCTTGTAACCTTTGCCTTGTTTGCATCTTTTAAAGGAGAAGAACTAGCCTGACAACGATGTCTCAAAGGGGAAGATTTTCCATATGAACTGCATACATGTTGCCCGCTGCCTTTTTACACAAAGCCATTCCAAGGTGTCCAAGAGGGGTCGGCGGAACGGAGAGCTTTCACAAGAACACCCCGTTTGTTTTACCCGGGCAAGGCAGAGCACTTCTCATTCCGCTCACAGCAAGCCTCCCGGATGAGCTGGCACTCTCCGTGCTGGGCCCAGTGCTGTGAGTTGCCCCGCAGCAGGCGCAGCGAAGCCGGCGGGTTCCAGGCAAGCAGAGCCTGCCGAGCCCGTGATGCTTCTCCGGATG